TGTCTTTGGGCATGATGCTATCTAATAACCATTGTCAATGTGAGAACATTTCTGAAGACGGGAAAGACAAAAATATGTAGCTCACAAACTGGTTTATTATATATATGGATAAACTTTTTCATTGTGGTCTTAACACTTTTATATAAAAATGAAAATGGAAAAAAACCCCACTGAACTCTCTCTTCCTTCTCCTCTTTCCTTCCATCTCCAGAGATGTTGGTTTCTACAGCAACTCTAGATATAAAATTGTGGCTTTAAAAATGCATGAAACCACCTTTAATCATCCAGAATGATGACTAGATTGGTCTTTTCCTCACTACCCTCCCTCCAACAAAAACATGACAGAAACATTATTTCTTGCACTTGCTGCCCTTGACCCTCTCCCATTCTCACACCGTCCATCACTCCGGACAAAGGATCATACATGTGTCGTTAGCAAGCAGGAGGGGCCAAGCTGACTAAACAGAAGGTAGGGTGGAAAGCATGCACGCTTGCGTCTGCATCCTGCAAGCCCCATCGGGCAGCCCCCGCTTCAGTGACTTCATCCTGAGCAGCGGTCAGCAGCCTGTTCAGAAGACCCAGGCCCTGCAGCACGGGCTTGTGTGAATGCTGAATGCTGAACCGAAGACAGTGACAGATCATTTGTGAATCCTGCTTACCCTATGACTCCTCTTTCTCTTAATGCTTAGAGAAGAATCTGACACAAAAAAACATGGGGTGTGCACAAAGAAAAAAAACATGACTATTTTTCACTGCCAGCTTCAAGGAAAAATTTTTCTACAGTTTGCATGAGGGATTTTTTTTAACAAAAACTTAATGTGCTTATGGTTACCAAAATGTGCTGTACAGAGAGGAGCAGAAAACCAAGTCCACTTTCCCACAGTCATCTGTCCATCCTGAGGCTTCAGCAATCCTTCCACCTCCTGTGAGCCAAGGAGGCCACCGCACAAGCTTGTAAATGGTTAAATCTTTCAAGTGTACACAAATGGAGCAGTTAATAAAATGAGGGAAATGCATTTGTAAACTTTTTTCTAGGTGACCCTGTTCATGGCCTTCACAGACTGGGAGGTGCTCAGGACCTGGTGGGCCTGGTGGCACAGGGGACGTCTGTTGCCACGCAGTCACTCCCAGACCTGTTTTTGTTGTCATTTTTATACACCCAAACACACCACGATAGTGACCTGGAGCAGTCCTCCCAGGACAGTGGCCATCTCTGAACTGCAGCAGCTGGAGACTGAACTAAGGGTCCACCTGGGCACCTTCCCCAGCCTTGTGCCTGATGCTGTTGAGACTGGACTTACAAGTCCTCTGAGAAAGCTCAAGAACGACAGCAGCTGCCACCGCCAGCCCTCTAGCCATCTCCACAGCAGCCAGTCAGCGGAGTGGGGTCACTGTCCTCTGCATGCTGACTTTCTGGGTGGGAGCAGTTTTTAAAGATCATGACACTAACTGATCAGCTGGGTTTGGGCCAGGAAGTTGTCTTTGTGGACTGCCTGCATGGCTTAGTAGTAGAAGGAAGTTTTTTGGGTTTTTTTTTATAATTCAGTTTAATCAATAAACGTATTTATTGACTATATTCTGTGTCAAGACTGTGGAACTATACCGTGGAAAGCTAATGGTTTGCTTTTGCTTAAATTGTTGCATCCACTAGTTGCTGCCTAATCACTGTCTGGAGGTTTGGAGAGGATATGCATTAGTGTCACTTATGGTGTTCGTATTTAAGATTATAACCATTGCAGGGGCTGAACACGGCTGATAATCAGCTGACTTGAATCTCACAACTACACTTAGGACTTTTTAATGAACACAGTACTTCTTAGAATTCTTGAGTAATTTAGACATTTAGGTTAAATGTTCACATTGCTCAGTGTTCCTGTATGAAAAATGTGGTGTGGGCTGGAGCAGCTACTCCCAGGCGGAGGGTAAAGTCACAGCAGCTGTCTGTCTGAAATAGTGTTGCAGTAAGTCATATCTTCCGTCATAACCAGGAAGCTTACATTCTAGAATTAGGGCACTAATTCTAGGGGAAGTTACAGAAGCCAGTTAGCAGAGTCTGGCTCAGAGAGCTGCCTCTGGGACATCGTGGGTCAGGAAATTCTGTATCTGGGTAAGAGCCTAAGACTATGGCAAACCTTTTCGAGATTTTGATGATTCAACCACCTGCTGTGGCACACGTGCCATGGGTTCACCACAAGTGGCTTGGGTTCTCTGACCACGAGGGAAGACGGCATTTGGCAGCACAACTGTCTGTATCTATCTATTTTGTATTATTATTTTTTTGTACCAGGGATCAAACTTGGGACCTTGTGCTTTGGAGGCAGATGGCAGAACCAATGAGCTAAATCCCCGGCCCTGTATATATATTTTAGAGATAGTCTCCCTGTGTGGTTCCAGCTTGCCTTGGGCTCACTATGTAGCCCAGGCTGGCCTCAAACTCGCAGCTCTCCTGCCTCAGCTTCCTGAGTGCTGGGATCATAGGTGTGCCCCACTACACCCATGGCAATGTAACTGTCGACATGACCTAGTCAGAAAATAAAACCACTTGGTAAGCACTTTGAAAGACTGCTTTATTTTACAAAAGTCTACCTTTGAACCAGCCAAGTTCAAAGTTATGGGGTGCAACTTCAGTTCTGGATAATGCATCTGTATTTTATTAAAAGCCACTAAAAAAGAAAATTACATTAGCATTAGAAAAATTGTGACACGTAAAGGGATCAATTCCTAAAAGCACCTCTACCCTCCCACCCAAACCCTCTCTATTGAATCTTTCCTCCAGAAAAGCCCAGCTTAGTGCAAGCCAAGGGGTCTCCCAACTCTTCTATACCTGTTTTCTTTATACAGTAATTTTAATTTCAGTCACCTGATCATGTGGGCAATATCCCAGTTGGTCTCAGCAGACAGCGGTCCCTCTATTTCAACACCTTTTTCAGTTACAGTGGCGATTTCAAACTGAAAGAAAACAGCTTTCATTGAAAATGCCTGCTCTCAAATGAGAGTCAAAGGTTAAGCAGTCAGTCTTCCCATCCTCTGAAAACAGGAGTCACATAAGGGAGGCAGTCTGTCCTTCTCATCATACAGACCGACCAACCGGTTTCCAGTAGTCACAGCCTGCCAACTGCGCTCCCAGGAGTTTTACCCTTCACTCACCCGGTTATACGAACGGGCATCTCGATAGTACAGCACGCGCATGCAGCGTTTTACCAGCTCGCGGGCCTCAGTCTGGCTCAGCACTGGCTGCTTCTCCAGAACTTCTCGAAGCAGAGGCTAGGGAGATGGGAAGAATTATCTGGCTGATAAAGTGTCTGACCCACAGAGTAAATGAGTGAAAAGATGATTTCTATTTATTGTTTCACTGAAATGCTAATGCTTCCCCTTGTGAAGGGGAAGTTCTGGAGCAGTGGTGGTGAACCTACGGCACGCATGCCACGGTGGGCTGCTGGCATCACTGAAAGCTCTAAGAGGTTCACCATCACTGTTCTAGGGCATCCACTCTGCCCCTGTCTGTTGACTCCAGCCAGCCACCTTGCCACTGGAATATAAGCACCAACAATCCCAGCCTCCTGATACAAAGAAAACCAACCAAAATAGGGACCTCAGCCTGTCCCTCATCAGAATTCCCGGGGCACAAAAAGCAACCACCAACCACCTATTTCTTCTCCCCTCCCCAACCTCTAGTCCCACTTCCTACCTGAGCCAAGTATGCACCATAACCAGTGGCCAGCGAAGGGGCTTCGTAGGCTACACCAAGCATGTCCACGTAACCGAGGAAGCTAACAGGACACAGTGGGTCAAAAAATTCCTTTAAGCTTACATTTCTTAGCTGAAGAATGGGATGAGGGGGTCTGAGAAAGGGATTCACTGGGGAGAAGAGACAAGACAGGCTGGGTGGTTAAGGAAGGAAGTCATTGTGTTCGTGTATCAACCTCTCTCCATCTGCACAGCCTCCAATGATCATAGTGTTCCACAGGGGGTTCATCTTCGAGCGCCGGCTGTACATGGCCCTGGTCAGCCACGAATGAATAGCTCTAGGGCTATAGCTGTGTCCGTCTCCCAACAACTCCTCGTCAATCCTTCAAGGGAATTGGTTGTGAGAAAAGGGTGACAATGGAAGTCAAGATCTCCACCCACCCCAAAAGAAGATAGCACAACTACTTTGTTGTAAATATATTTTCAACATCCACCAATTCTCTCAACCCGCTGCTGCAGCCTCAACTCCTCCCATCCGATCCAAGGGAATAAAACACTGGAGCTCCTCTTTCCCATTTCCTACTACTACCCCATGCTCCAGGCGACTCACACCATCTGGCCGAGAACCTGCTTCAAGTACTGGAAGTCAGCATAGTCTCCAGAGGCACCCAGCATGGTGCTGTCGTTGACTCGCATAATGCGAGAGATGTTACGGAAACGAGCCAGGGAGCCGTAGGAGCCCAGCATGTCGGCTGCGATCACCACTCCGCCGTCGAACTTGACGCCGAGAACCGAGGTCCCGGTCACCATGGGGTTCCTGAAGAGGGAGAGGGTTAGGGCTCTGGCGGCAGGAGGAGCCGGGCAGAGCCTGCGCTCTTTCCGAGTCTGGGCTCCATTTCCCACCCTCTCTGGGTCCCCCCAGAGATCCGCACACCCCGGGCCTCCGCCGGGGCGCCCCTGCCCCCGTGGCTCGCGCCTCCCGCCCCACAGCCCCGCTCAAGACCCTGCCAGCCGGACCGCGCGCCGCGGCCCTTCGCCCTGCTCCGCCAAGGCGCGAAAACTTACAAGGTCCGCGTGACGGGATCCCCGTGGAGTGCGGACGCTGGATCCAAGAAGGAAGCGGGAGTGGACGGGACGCGGTAAAACTGTCCTGGGGCCGGACCCCCGGCCCAGTGCCCACCCCGCGACTCCAAAAGCGCTTCCATCTTAGTCACGGTGGAAGAAATGAAAGCTGTTGTCCCAGCGGAAGCGGAAGTGATCCTTCAGTGTTACACTTTTCTTCTTCCTGAAAGCCACTTTCAGAAGCCATGTTGATGAGGTCATATCCGAAGGTACCATTGTCCTGAATAGCGAATGAGATGTAGCAGCCTTTTATCCACAAGGTTTTTAAATTTGGGGGGGGGGGATCGGGGATCGAACTCGGGTCCTTGAGCTTGCGCAGCAGGCAGCGAAACCACTGAGCTAAATCCCCGGCCCCTAAAGTTTTTAAATTTTGATGTAGTCCTATTGTGTGTGTGTGTGTGTGTGTGTGTGTGTGTGTGTGTGTGTGTGTGTGTGTTTTGGCCATACTTTCAGTGTCATAGCTAAGAAATCATTGTCAAATACAATGTCACAAAACTTTCTGCCTGTTTTCTTCTAAGAGTTTTTTAGTTTTAGTTCTTATGTTTTATTTTTATATATGGTGTAAGATAAGGATAAAATTTCATTCTTTTGCATGTGACCATCATTTATTGAAAGAAAAACTGTCCTTTTCCCCCATGTAATGGTTTTTGCCTCCTTGTAGAATGATCATATCTGGGAGAGTTTATTCTGGGCTTTCTATTCAATTCCATTGGCCTATATGTCTTTACAACAGTGTCACCATTTCAGTTACTGTAGATTTATGCTAAATTTTTGAACGTGTTAGACCTCACATGACTGTTCTTCAAAATTGCTTTGATAAAAGTGTCTTTTCAAAATTTTAATTTTGTCAAATATTTCCTTTGGCATAAATTGGCAAATATTTTCTTTTTGGAACTTTAAGGATGTAATTTAATTTCTTCTGACTTCCATTGTTTTGTTATTTGTACTATTGTTTCTTTGAAGGTAAATGGGATTTTTTTGTTTGTCTTGTGATACTGGGGATCGAACCTGGGCCCTTTGTGTTGAGCTACATTCTCAGCCCTTTTTATTTTTTACTTTGAGACAGGGTCTCACTAAGCACCCAGGCTGAACTCTCATTTGTGAGTCTCCTGCTTCAGCTTCCCTTCCTCTGCCCAGAATGGTTACAGGCATTCACCACTATGCCCACCTATGTTTTGTTTCGTTTTAATCTGAATTCTCTCAATAGGTTTACTAATGTTACTAGGATATGGTAAGCCATGATCTTTTTCTTTCTTTTTTTTTTTTTTGCAAGAGGGGGGCATGGTTTTATTTATATTTACCGAACCTGCTTTTGCTGACATTCTTGAATCTGTGGGCTAAATATCTTTTATCAGTTTTGGAAAATTCTCAGCCACTGTGTCTTTTTGGGGGGGTGGGTACTGGGGATCGAACTCAGGACCTTGTGCTTGCAAGGCAGGTGGTTGAACCACTGAGCTAAATCCCCAGCCCAACTGTCTCTTTGAACATTGCTTTTGTCCAATATTTTCTCTTCTCGCTTTCTTTCTTTTTTTCTCCTTTTTTCCTTTTTGGTACCAGAAACTGAACTCAGGACCTTGCGCTTACCAGACAGGTGCTGTGCTGCTGAGCTACATCCCTGGCCTTCTTCTCTCCCTCTGAGACTTCAATTGTGTCTGTGCTAGATATTTGGTAAAGCAGCCATGTTTCCTGCTTTCTTTTTTTCTCATTCTTTTTTATATCTGCCTCAATTGGGGAATTTTCTGCTGACTTATATTCACGTTCACTAATCTTATGCTCTGCTGTATCTATTCTGCTGCTAAATTCATATACTGAGTTCTTAATTTCAGATTTTATATTTTTTTCAGCTCTCAAATTCCTAATTGGTCTTTTTACAGATTGCAATTTTCTGTTTAAATTCTTCATATTTTCATATATATATGGCAATCGTTTTCTCTATTTTCTTTAACATGATGATTCTAGATTTCTTTTTTTCAGTGCCAGAAATTAAACATGGCCTTAGGCATATGAGGCAAGTTCTCTACCACTGAGCTACATCCCCGACCCCTATTTTTACACTCTTAAATGCTAACTCTAATAAAGGTCCTACTCAACTTATGATACTTTGGCTTACAAATTGTATTAGTCAGCTTTCTCTTTGCTTACACATAATACTCAGCACTTACAACTTAAAGATGTTTATTTTGCTAATGGTTTCAGTCTGTGATTGGCTGGCTCCCAGGCAAGGACATTGTGGCAGAGGGTGTAGTAGACCAAGACTGCTTAGTTCACAAGGGCTTACAGGTGTGCACCACCATGCCTGATGGTTTTCTCTAGTTCTGTGAAGAATGCTGTTGATATTTTGATTGGGATTGCGTTAAACCTATATATCAGTTTTTGAAATAAGGCTATTTTGATAATACAGTGGTACCTTGGTTCATGAACTTAATTCTTTGCATGATTCTGGTCGCAAACTGAATGGGACAAAAACTGAATCAAATTTCCCCATAAGGTCAACTTAATCATTGAACTTAACCATTGAATTTGATTCAGTTCTTGTTCCCTTTGGTTTGTAACCAGAATCAGGAAAGGATTAAATTAGAGCTAAGGTACCACTGTAGTTCTCTTTTTCGGTTGGATCCTTGTCTGGTTTTGGAATCGGGGTAATGCTAGCTTCCAGGAATGACTTGGGAAGTCCTTCTTCCCTTTCAGTTTCATTAAAGAGTTTGAGAAGAATTGGTGTTAGATCTTCCCTGAAGTTCTTGTAGAATTTAGTGGTGAATCGTTGGGATCCAGGCTTTTCTTAGTTGGTAAGTTTTTACTAGTACTTCAATTTCATTACCTGTTATTCGATTATTTGCCATTTTTATATCTTCTTGGTTCAGTTTTGGTAATTCATATCTATTTAGGAGTCTATCCATTTCTTCTAAATTCTCCAATTTATTGGAGTACAGGTTTCAGAGTAGTTATAATAATCTTCTGGATTTCAGTGTTGTGCCTTGTTATTTCTTCTTTTTAATTTCTTATTGCATTAATATGAGTCTTTCCTTTTTTGGGTATGATTGCTAAGGGTTTGTCTGTTTGGTTTATTCTTTTTCTTTTTTGTACTGGGGATCGAACTCAGGATCTTGCGCTTGCAAGGCAGACAGTGGCACCACTGAGCTAAATCCCTGGCCCTTTTGGTTTATTCTTTTGAAAAATCAGCTCTTCAATTCATTGATTCTTTGTATATTTTTAGCCTCAATTTCATTAATTTCTACACTGATCTCTATAATTTCCTTCCTTGTACTGGTTTGGATTTGGATTGTTCTTATTTTTGTAGGACCTTGAAGTGCATCATTAGATTATTTATTCATTAGATTATTTATTTGGGCTCAGTCTGTTTTTCTGATGTGGGCATTCACAGCTATAAACTTCTGTTTTAGGACTGCTTTCTTTGTATCCCCTAGGTTCTGGTATGTTTTACTGGCATTATCATTTGATTTTAGGAACTGACTAGTTTCTTTTTTGATTTTTTTCTGGGACCTGTTGATTAAGAGTGTATTATTTGGGGGCCAGGGATTTAGCTTAGTGGTTCCATCACCTGCCTCACAAGCGCAAGGTCCCAAGTTTGATCCCTGGTACCCCCCCCAAAAAAGTGTATTGTTTAATTTCTATGTATTAGTGTAGTTTCTGTGACTTCTTTTGTCATTGATTTCTAGTTTCATTGCACTATGATATGATAATATACACAGTATTATTCTGATCCTTTTGGATTTACTTAAATATGCTTTATTGGCTACTATGTGGTCTATTTTTGGCAAAAGTTTCATGTGCTGCTGAGAAGAATGTGTATTCTGTTGTGGGGTGGAGCACTTTGTAGATATCTATCAAGTCCATTTGTTCAAAGGTTTGGTTCACTCCACTTGTGATAGTGGAGTATTGAGGTTTCCCACTATACTTGTGTTGTTTATTTGATTTAATTTTTTATGTCCACCAGTGTGGTTTTTTAAAAATTAAGTTGATTGTGTCAGTGTTTGGTGCATATATGTTTGTAATTATTATATCTTCCCATTGAATTATTTCCTTAACCAATATGTAGGGACTTTCTTTGCCTCTTCTGATCAGTTTTGGATTAGAGTCCATTTGGAAAATAGGATAGCCCCTCCTGCTTGTTTTGGGGCTCCTGTTGCATGGAATATTGTTTTTACATCCTTTGATTTTTTTAGTCTATGAATTTCTTTTTGCTTTAAGTGTGTTTCTTATATAGCATACCATTGGATTTTGTTTCTTGATCCATTTTGCCAGTCTGTGTCTTTTGATGGGGGAATTAAGACCATTCACATTGAGAGTTATTCATGTCATTGCATTATTTCCCTATTGATATCCTTTTTTTCTCCCTTGCTCTTCCTACCTCATGTATCATTCTACTAGACACTGATTCAACACTCTCTGGGAATACGGTGGGCACTGCACTGGGTTTCTTCTCCAACTTTAGGCTGTCATAAAGCAGTTACTTCTCTCCTTTCTTTTGCAGAGATGTCTCACTGTTTGCCCTGGCTGGCCTTGAACTCTTGGGCACAAGCTATTCTCCTACCTCAGCCTCCAGAGTAAGAGGAACAACAGGCCCAAGCCACTCCACCTGGCTGTAGTTGTATATTTCTATCAGGAGATTGCACTCAACTTCCAGGAAGATGGCAGTGTGTGGTGAGCAGCAGAAAGAGCTTCTCGGAGATTTGTTGTCCTGTTGATATAGAGGTAATAGGTATAACTCCCAGACCTGCTAGATATACAGAATCTGAGTTTGTGTTCTCTAAAATCGAAGAATGGATTCTAGGAACAACAGAGGTTAAGAGTGGGAAGAATTTATTGAGAGAAACATAGCTTCTGTCTAAGAGAGTCAGAAGGGGACACAGAAAGTGGGTAGCCTGGGACCTTATTTCCCAGGGGGTTTTTATGGAGCAAAGCCATGAGGTGAGGCGGGTTCGAAGTGGGACAAAACTATAGTCAACTAGTAAGATTACAAGTACAATCATTTAGGTAATATTGATCCAATGGGAAATCACAAGGTGAGACAAAACGATGATCAACCAGTAAGATTATGACAATTATAGGCGCTTAGGTAATATTGATTAAATAGGGATTAAATGGAGAAGCAAGTCATGTAGCAAGCATAGAAGGATTTTCAGTCAGGCACCTTTCTTGGAAGGGGTGGGTAAGATCTTGGTCCCCAACCCAGGTGACTGATACCTATTTAGAAGATCAATCGGGCTGGGGATTTAGCTCAGTGGTTCTCCCGCCTGCTGCACAAGCGCAAGGACCTGAGTTCAATCCCTGGTACCAAAAAAAGAAAAAAAAAAGAAGATCAATCACTGCTATTCATCCTTAGGGGAAGCTAGGTGTGGTAGTTTTTACAATGCTGGCCTTCAGTGAATGTGTCTTGATTGTCTTCCATGTTGGCTTCTCCCAGGACAGCCCTGTCTAACTGCCTACAAGACATCTAAGTAGCTTACCTATCTACAATACTGACACTGGAATATAGCAGCGTGAGGAGGAGGAGGAGGGAAGTGGGTGTCCCTGGGACTCAAGAAGGATCTAAGGCGAGAATTGAAGTCTACAGGAAGAGTGAAGAGAGAGACTTTAACGAAGAGGAGGGAGATACCAAGCAGTGCTCTCTCACAGAGCCCAGACTCTCAGTGAGGGAACAGCAGAGTGAACCTCCAGACACATGGTGACTGCTGGCAACCCCATAGGCCTCCACAGAGAAATGCACCAGTGGACCAGAGCAGTGGATACACCAGATTGCAGCAGCTGGTGAGTTATCCAGGTTCAGACCTCTACCAGGAGGAGGGGGTGATTGGCTGGTAGCTGTCATGGAGAAGGGCCAGTTGAGTTTGGAACTCAGAACAGCTGTTGGCAGACTCCATCTAGTGGCTCCCAGTGCCTCAGTGTGGGTGCTGAGTTCAAGTCAGCAGGAGGTCAGGGAGAGGAGTTCAAGATGACAGGAGACACATAGACTGTTTAGGCTCAAGGAATCTGGTCCCAGCCTCATAGCCAGAAAACTGGCCTGAACTTCAGAGGAACTAAAGGGGCAGGCTGGCCGGGCTTATCCACTACCCCACCACGAAGCTGCAGCTAGCTTGCTGGGATTAATCAATTTGGCTCTAGACTCTGTTTGCCCACATTGCCTAAAAGTCACAGGAGAGATATACCTTGAATTGGATGTTTTGGGGTTTTTTTTCTTTTTTCTTTTTCTTTTTTTCCCCCCTCCTTTCTAGTTCTTATTTTGTTTTGTTTTGTTTTTCTTGTTTCAACACAGTTTCTAGTTTGTTGTTGTTGTTGTTCTGTTCTTGTTTTAATTTTTCCTTCTCTTTTTCCCACCTGTCCGCTTCACCAGTTTACTAAAGTTTGTCCTCCACCCCGGCTTCTGATCTCTTCCTTTTCTTCTATTTCTGTTTTTTATCCCCCTAACCCCTTTTTTTTCTTTCTTTTTAAAAATTCTTTTCTTCTCTTTTTTCCCCCTAACACCTTTTAAATCTTCTCCCCTAAGGGTAAAATTGCCATATTAAGGGCCACAGTTTGCCATTTTCTAGGTTGTATTTGATGCTATTGTTATTGTTAATTGTACTACATTAGCCAAAGTGATACAATTGTGCTAATCAGTTGTTCTTCCTGGTATACCAAGACTGAGATTGCCTAAGGGTCTTAAAAAAATAAATAAAAACCTCTAGGCCAGTGCCAGAGAACTGGCTGCTGGGCCAAGTAGGCAGAAACTTCTCACCCCCAATAATCTGAAGAGGCAGGATCCTGCAACAGACTCAAAATCCAAAAGCCAGCTACACCTGGAAGACACTTCTGAGAAGTAGCGATTTCTAAGGGTTCTGAATACTGGCAGTAAAGCTACTCTCCATAAGCAGTTTACAAGCATCAACTCAGGAATCAAGTTTTAAAAAGAAGTAGAAAGTGAGAAGACACTTAAACAAGATGTAGCCCCTACAGACTTTCAGTTCACTAAAGGTGAACCCCAGGGGGAATGAGGTGGAACAACCTGAAACCCACCCACTTGGACTCTCTGAAGAGGTAACAGGAGAAGTAACAAAGAAGATAAACAAAGGCTCTAGAAAAAACCAAAGCAATAATCAAAGAAATAATTTCCCAGATAACCTCAGAGATGGTGGGCCGAATGAAAGACATGCTTAGTGACTCTAGAGCAGATAAAGATTTAAAAAAATAGAGGAGCTCAGGAACATGCTGGAAACCATGAATGCCCAGCATAGGAAAGAAATGGAGTCCATGAAACAGATTCAAAAAGATATCCAGGAGATTAAAAACTCCTTTGAGGGCCAGGGATTTAGCTCAGTGGTTTCGCTGCCTGCTGCGCAAGGGCAAGGACCAGAGTTCGATCCCCGGTACCAAAAAAAAAAAAACAAACTCCTTTGAAAGTATACACAGGAGAATGAGCCAATGTGAGGACAGAATATCAGATATAGAAGACAGGATTGCAGTTAGTGACCATGAAAAGAGATTTCTTAAAAATAGCAAAGGACTATGAGAAATCAATCCAGCAGCTTCTAGAGGATGCAAAGACATAAGATTGATTGGAGTCAGTAAAAAAGCAAGAGATAGCACAAATGACATAAAAACCTGTTCTCAGAAGTAAGGGCAGAAAACTTACCAAGCAGAGAAAAACAATTTGACATACAGATAAGTGAGGCATATAGGACTCCAATTAGCCATGATAAAAAAAAAAATCTTCCCCAAGGCAAGTAATAGTTAGGATTCCAGAAATTCAACACAAGGACAAAATATTAAAAGCTGTCAGAGAAAAGAAACAAATCACCCTAAAGGAAAGCCCATCAGAATTCCAGCAGGCTTCTTAACACAAACCCTCATGTCAAGGAGAGCTTGAAGTGAAATATTTCAAGCCCTAAAGGAAAACAACCTCCAGCACAGATTGATGCACCCTGTAAAACTATCCTTCAAAATTGATGGAGAGGGCTGGGGACTTAGCTCATGAGCACAGCACCTGCCTGGCAAGTGCAAGGTCCTGAGTTTGATCCCCAGTACAAAAAAAAAAAAAAATTGATGGAGAAATAACATGACAAAGAACACCTGAAGAAATTCATGACTACCAAACCAGCACCCCAAAGTGTTCTGAAGCATATTCTAGAAAGAGACAGTAAGGCTGACAACTCCATGAGCCCCAACAGAATGAATCTATTAGGCAAAGCAAGAAATTAAACAGAAAAGGAAAGAAGGAAGCCAACAGCAGGAAAATAACATGACAGAGATAAGACAATACATATCAGTTATAACCATCAGTGTTAATGGTCTCAATTCACCAATCAAAAGAAACAGACTGACTGAACGGATCAAGAAGCAAGATCCAACAATAAGCTGCATACAAGAAACACATTTAATTCAAAAATAAATTTGTAGACTGAAAGCCAAGGGATGGAAAACAATATTCCTTGCAACCGGAACCCAGAAAAAAGGAGGGGTAGCTATTCTATTTGGATTTCAAGCCAAGACTGATTAAGAAAGACAAAGAAGGTCACTATATCCTGGAAAAGGGAACAATCCAAGAGGAAGAGGTAATGATCCTAAATATATATGCACCAAATACCAGCACACCCAACTATATAAAACAAATATTAATGGACATGAAAGATCATATATGCCCTAATACAGTTGTAACGGGGGATTTCAATACCCCACTGTCACAAATCAACTAGACAAAAAATCAACAATGAAATATTAGAATTGAACCAAACTTTTGAACAAATGGACTTAGTAGATGTCTACAGAGTGTTCCACCCCACAACATCAGAATACACATTCCTCTCAGCTGCACATGGGACTGTCTCCAAAATAGATCATATACCAACTCATCAAACATGCTTAAGTAAATGCAAAGGAATTGAAATTATCCCAAGCATATTATCAGACCATAGCACAATGAAACTGGAAATCAACGGCAAAAGAAACTACAAGAATTTCATAAACACATGGAAATTAAATAACACTCTCCTGAAGAACCAATGGGTCACAGATGAAATTAAAGAAGAAATCAGACAATTTCCACAATTAAATGGTAATGACAATAAAACATACCAGAACTTATGGGATGCAATGAAAGCAGTTCTTTGAGGGAAATTTTTTTTTTTTCTTTGGTACCAGGGATTGAACTCAGGTCCTTGTGCTTGTGAGGCATTGTGCTTGAAATGATTTGTAGAATTCAGCAGTCAGGGTATCTTGTCTTGTGCTGTTGTTGGTTGGGAGACTTCACTGATTCAAACTTGACTATTGACCTGTGCAGGTTTTCTGGGTCGTGTGGTTGTTTAAGTAGGTATGTGAATGAATTTATGTGGTGTAGCTTTTCTGACTGGCTGATGTGCAGTTGTTCAGAATGGTCCCTAGTGGTCCTTTGCATTTTGGTCCTCTCTGTTGTAATGTCTCCAGGATCCCCATTGGTTCTGCCGTAGAACCAAGAGTCCCTGGAGTAACAGTGATGGTGACATCACCAGCACTTGGGCAGGGCTCATCCACTGACACAGTGCAGAGTGGGAGGGGAGATGCGGTTGGTGTCAGGATGGGGGTGGAGGCAGAGGAGCAGCCCTGGACATCGACATCGTCAGCAGGGCTGTCTTACGACTGAGACAGAAACAAATACTCCAGCCGGACTAGTTCTACTTTACAGTGGCCTTTTCCTGCTTTTACACCCTGATTGGAACAGCGTATTATTTGGCTTTCCTGTGTCCCTAGCCGTTTCATCTTAGAAATGTCCATCTCCGTAATCTCATGAATTCCTTATTAGACATACACTTCCATTTTGTTCTTCTGAAAACCCTGACATAGGCCTTGCTTCCAAGAAGTGGGGTGTTGCTCTAATACCCAAGAATGTGGCAGCACCATGGAGGCTGGGTAATGGGGACAGGCAGGAAGAAGTTCTTCAGGTGCAAGCTAGAAATATATGCAATGAATTGTGAACGTGTGAGGTCACAGAATGAAATGAATGTGATGGGACACTGTAGGGACAGCAGTCCTTCTGCGACATGTGCGAGGTCTAGTTCTAATATTCTGTGAAAGATACAACTTCTAGTGACAAAATTGGTTATTTATTGAAGGAGACAGACTAGGAAGGTGTTGAGTGAATGGCCTGGCTCTTCCTGGGTGCTTAGGGTAAAATATGAAAGGAGAGGGATGAATTGAAGAAAAGCATTCTTAAATAAAAATGTTCCTGGGCCGGGGATTTAGCTCAGTGGTTCCGCCCCGTCTTGCAAGCGCAAGGACCCGAGTTCGATCCCCGGTACCAAAAAATAAAAATAAAAAAATAAAAAATAAATAAAAATGTTCCATCACAGAGGACTCACTCCCTGGTGGGCTACATAGATGACCAGCAGGTGGCCACCAGTGACCCCCCTGCACACACCCTGTCATTTCTTCTCTGCAGAACAGCCTAGACTGTCAGTCAACCCCGCAGGGCTGGACCTGGCCACAGGAAAGTCTCTGCACATTCTGCCCCACCTTTCAGGAAGTGAATTCTCTTCCGGCCCAAAGACAAAGACTGGGACAAATGGGGGTGTGGGAGCAGAAGGCTTCTCTCAGCAATAGGGACATTGCTTTTGCACCATTTATTCATCCTGTCTCCCCGAAGCATCAGGGAGTAGTACATGTTTTTGTCCTAAAGTAACTCCAACCTGGATAAGAAGCTCTAATCTGAACCCCCATGCTTCCCAGCAGCCATCTGCTCCAGCAGCAGCTTCCTTTCTGCTTTCCCTGGGTTGTCTTTCCTGCCACAACAGCCACCTTCCAACATGCCAAAACCTTCCAGTTCTGGCAAGGAAGGAGGAGATGATGTATTATTTATATCACCAACCTGCGAGATCTTTACCGGAAAATATTCTCCAATGTCATTCCCACAGAGAAGCTGCTGCCCACATGTGACTGGTGAGCATTTCACCCAAGGCCAGAGCAAGGCGGGAATGAACTCCCAGTATCATTTCATTTAGGACTCATTTGAATGTAAGTGAATAATCAAAGCAATATAAAATACCTTTTTCTTTAAAAGATCGATAGCTTTTCTAACACAACATTGTTTTGTCACCGTGTAATAATGCAAAGGATTCTTTCTGTTGTGTTCTCTGTTTCTGAGATTTTTTTTGTTTGTTGTTGTTTTTTTTTGGTACCGGGGATTGAACTCAGGTCCTCGTGCTTGCGCAGCAGGTGGCAGAACCACTGAGCTAAATCCCCAGCCCTGTTTCTGAGATGTTAAAATGTAGCTGCTGAAGTGTTTTCAGTTCCAGAGGGTCCTGCTTTTCCTCACTAGCCAGACATGGCTGTAGGTACCAACACAAACAGAAAGGAAGGACGCGTGAGAGAACCACATGTAAAATACACGAAGGGACAAATCAGACAAACACAGACTGCAGAACATCCCGCAGGAAAAACCCCTCGGCAACCTCAAGTAAATGACAAAGAGGGAGAATCACAGGAAAAAAGAAAATAAAAAGGAAACTGTAGATGAAAGTAGACCCTTCAAACACGTGAGACTATACATTTTATTTATTTATTTTAGATTTAAAACAAACTAAGTTAACAAAAGAGGAATGCGTCATGGGCTTGGGTAGGTGAACGTTAAGTGGTAAAAGCCAGAATTCACGGGACCCTGGTGTCATGAATCTTTGCCAAATTCTTCCTCACAAATTTCCTCACGCTCCTGGTTTTCATGAACAGTCAAAAAATTTAATTTTGTGAAATTCAAAACAGCCAACGAGGACACTAGGAAGGACTTCTCACTTTCTGGGAAAGGAGTGCCTATCAGGGACAGAGACATTTTCTGAGTTTGGGAGGTGACAAGTTTGTCTTAACAGAAATGGCCAGCAACGTGTTCTGGACCAAACCATGAGGCTAAGTGGCCCCGATCTGTGGATGTGACTCAGACCAGCAGTCCTGGAGACCAGGTGCACTCGGGCTGCCACAGAGGTGGACTGCAGGGTCAGTGGCTCAACAAATCCCCATGCCTCTGACTCAAACCAACTCATTTCCAGGGGAGGAGGAAACCACCGCCCCATGAGAGCCCATACACATGGGCCTGAGGATGCTGGACACACGCTGCCTGCGGCGCACACCGCGTTCCACCAGGGAGGAAGGTGAGAGTTGCACGGCCACGGCCTCCACCCAACGTGGCCTTCTCTGACCTTGCTGCAAGGTACTCCGCATCTGTCAAGGCTCCCAGGGAAATCCAGGTGGCAGGAGAGCAGAGGAACTTGGCTGGACCCGTGGAGTCTCACAGGAGCTAGGTACCTTGGTGAAGGCCCAGGGTTAGTGAGAGCCTGCGACTGCCACCCACTCCCTGAGCCTGCTGGCAAGGTGCTTGGCCCTCTGGCACCACTGAGCTAGCCATTCCCGCTGTGTGTCAGGGACAGCTTCTGTGAGGAGGTACCTGAGGTGTTGACAGTGGAAGATGTACCCATCTCTCCTTCTCTGCAGCCGCTTCCTTAATCTCTGGGCCAGTGCTTGCTCCCCACTTTGAAGAGAAAGATGTAAATTGCTACCCCAGGACAGAGGAGAAAAATGTAGTTAGAACTCAGTGAGAGCTGACAGACATTTCTAGGAGAGACTCCTGCTAAGGCCATCAAAAGACAATTTTGGGACATTCTGGGCAACTGTGCATCAATTTCTTGAATGTGAATGGCCTCTATGCTGTGAAATCCCTGCCAGTCACCTGAGGGGAAGTGCGTCCTCGCAGGAGGGACTCACCCTCCCGAGTTACCATACCCGGGAGGACGGGTGTGAGGAGGGAGATCAGGAAATGCCCTGACACTGACCCACACCAACTACAAGTCTCAGGGGAAGTCACAGCCTTTCTGAGAGGACCAGGGCATGGCTGGGTGGGGCAATGAACTGTGATGTCAGCAGTGCATGTTTCCATGGCAGCCTGAATGTGAACACATTCTCCTTTGCTCAGG